TAAAAATAAACACCCCAACCTTGTTATCAATATTTTTTATTTGGACCAGGAAATCTCACATAGAATGTTTAGACAGTGTTAGACAATCAGCGTGAGAGGATGAATCAATGTTCTCAGCAGATTGTCTCGCTAATGAGAGACTTAGAGACATTTAGTCACATACAGTAGCATGATTCTAGGGATGATAATGTGTCAAAAGTTGTATCCTAGGCTCAAAATTGCTACCGTCGGATTCCTTTTTTTAAAAATGGTACTAAAGAATAAACACTATAAGAATACAAACAAAAGAATTAGTTGAACAAGAAAATAGTATAAACATGGAAATATGTGCAACTTTTTTTCAGATAATGGTTAAAGACTTGTTCCATCAAATCTTTGAAATTGAATGATCATTAATGCATTTCCATTTTCCAAGATATCTACCCCTTGAATTTTTTAGCAATAAAAGAGAGCACAAGCACATATAAACTCATCAGTGAACATCTAGAGATGTGGATATTTATCATTGAAGTGTTTCAAATGCCTTCCAAGGTTTATGTTTTAAGGGGCCAAAGATGAAAAGGTTATGAATTTTTAATGGATTTTAACTGTCTATGTCTATTAAAATATAACTTTAAAAATAAACTCAAAATTAGCCGATGGAGTCTAAATGAAAGTTGTAGATTTAGTCGATACCTACGCGTAGATATAAAGAACGTCAAAAGCGAAGCTCGTATGCAAAAGTTACGGATTTTAGAAGATAATTAGTTTTTGGAGTAACCAGTAAGCGACACGTTGCGCGATCTGAACCACTACTTCCTCACCACGTCTTGGCACCAGATGATGCACGAACGCCCATCGTTCAGCAAGGGAACGCCTTGCATTTGAACACTCAACCTAGAAATAGAGGCGAGGATCACCCCCAAAACTCACACATTTTCCATTCGTTTTCTCTCAACCCCCCCCCCCCCCCTCTTAGCCCCTCCCATTCCCTAGCACTTCCCGAGTTCTAGAGGCAAGTCTCGGAGCGCTATAAGGCTCCGAGAAGAAGAGCTTTTGGCTCGGAAGTTCTGCCCCCACAAAGCCCAGTTCCTAGCCAAACCTCTTAGTAAGTGAGTTATGCTTACCCTACTTTAAGTATAGCTTATGTTTAAGTTCAATATCATTATAATGAACTTATAAACAATAAATGTATTATAAAAGATAATATACAAAGTGTTATTATAATATCTTTAACTACTTGCAGTATGGGGAATCTGGTTTGAAGGGCCGCATTGGGTTGTTGGATTTCATAGCAACTATAATGCCAAAATGGTCCTTCCCTCTAGTATTTCATGTCTGGCCCCTGTCTGTACATAGTAGTTGAAAAGTATTGTTTAACATTTATAAAACAATATCACTCGTAAATAGTCGCTATAAATATTAGACTAAAATCTAGCGGTAATGATACTAGGTTTCGTCAAATGAGAATAGACTTGTTAGAAGCGAAGCGTTGCCCGAGTTTGGAATCATCACTTTAACAAGTGAGTGCATAGTTACCTTCATCTTACACATAGATATGAAGTATTTAATATCAATTACGTGCTATGTGTGCATATTATCTGTGTTCTTTATATCTATGTTGGATGAACAAAATATACATGTTTTATTCGATTTAAATTGTATACATATTTTAAACCTATAATTATGATGCGTAAAGATGGGTAGATTAAAGATGAGATGAGATGAGAGATGAAATATGAGACGAAAGATGAGAGATTAAGATGATATAGATGATGAGAGATGAAAGATGATGAGAAGCAATGACCCAAGCGATGGCCCAGTCATCTAGTAGAGTATAGATGACAACCACAGAATATTCTAGATAGTCCAATGAAACACTAGCAGACTCGCAATCTGTAGGTGTTGTGAATGATATGTTCATCAAATGTACTCTAAAAACCCATTGACATTTATTCTGGGCGGACTCCTTATAATAATATTGTCAATAAAAGAGCTAAACCCTTGTAGCTATGGACTCAGTGCCTAACAAATAACACTGGCAGCTATGGACTTAGTGTATGTTATATAAACACTAACAGCGATGGACTTCATGCCTATTCCTTACGATAATCTTTAGGAATGAATGAGTGGATGATAGATGATTCTTAGGGTAGATCCTTAAGAAATAAAGAAGATAATGGGGATGGGTAATTGGGTTAATTGTTTGATGATGGAACATAATAACTTAATTATCACGGGTTGAAAACCCTATGTACTCACCAGGTTTCCCAACCTGACCCACTCAGTTTATTTGTATTATAAGTGTCGATACGAAGCTACATTACACTGAGAGATTAAAGGAGATGTAAATCACTATTGTAAATGAATGTAAGGTCTGTTTATACTTATGCTTTTGTATTGACGATGACATACCAATGTTTTAATATAAACAAAATACATTTCTTTGGGAATGCTTTGATAATATATTTATCATGTTTTCTGGGAACAAATTCCGCAATATTATTCTTTAAAATGGATACTCTAATTTTCGAATAAGCATAAATAAAAATTTTAAAATCACTGTGAATTTGAGGATGTCACATTAATCCAATCATCTTCTTTCAAGGCATCAACAATATTATTTGGTTCGATCATTAAGACAAAGTTTACAAACATGCATAAGTTGTTGCTGACTTTGTTGCGAGTGAGAATTCCATAATTTATGCCTCTAATGAGTTGAGATTCAGGATGATCTTAAAGGATTCTAGGATTAGAAATTTCATTTATATTGCTTTGGGCAGAAACTTCCTGATTTGATGAATCATATTCTTCATAGACAACAGGATGATCTTCAGGGATAGGCTGAGAACTGATTAATTGATCAACATTGGGAACAATGGGATCAACGTCATTTGATAAGAGCTCGGGAACATGGTCTGAAGGACTTTAAGTAAGTTCATGCAGAATAGATGAGGGGTGATCAACTCGATCATGAAGGAATGGGTTTTCATTAAAGGTGACATGAATTGTTTCTTCAATAATTTGCCTTGAAAGAATAAATACTCTGTAAGCCTTGGATACGCTGGAGTATCGTAGAAACACTCCTTCATCAACTTTAGCCTCAATCTTCAAACACTGATCTCTTTGATTCAAGATGTAACAAACACGTCCAAACACATGAAAAAATGTATGGTTTTCTTCCTTTCAATAGCTCATAAGTAGTTTTCCCATGACGTTTGACAATAATAGACCGGTTTTGGAGTATAACACCTTGTATTGATGGCTTCAGGCCAAAATGGCAATGAAAGACCAGCTTCAAAAACCTTAGTTCTTCCAGCTTCAATGAGAGTTCTATGTCTTCTTTCTGCAATATCATTTTGTTGGGGAGTTCTAACAACCAAAAAGTTCTGAGAGATTCTTAAGACTGAGCAAAAATCTTCCAGAGAAGATTTTTTGAATTCAGTTCCAGGATCACTATGTAATTGCTTTACTTTGTGATCAAATAGGACTTCCCATTGCTTAATGAGAGCAATGATTTCATCAGTGGCATGACTCTTTTTTCTTAATAATACTACCCACATAAACCTTGAAAATTCATCCACAATGACAATAGTATATTTCTTCCCAACTCTTGACTTAATCGGAATTGGTCTAAAAAGGTCTATATGAAGGAGATGAAGAGGTTAAAAGAAGACTTGGATTTCTTCCCTTTTTCACACACTGAGCACACTTTATCCTTGACGAATTGCATCTTAGGAATTCCTCTCACAAGTCAATTCCCTACAATCCTTGAGATGTTCTTGAAATTTAGTTGCGATAGCCTTTTGTGCCACAACCAATTTAGATGAGACTAAGCACGAGAGAAGAAGCAACAACGAAGAGATTTGTTAGCAGAAAGCATATCCAGAACATAGATGCCGTTTTGTAGATTTTCAGTAAGAGTAGTGATGCTCTTTTGATCAATAACTTTTCCTTATTTTTTTGTTAAAGAGAACTTCATATCCAACGTCACACAATTGACTGATAGAAATGAGATTATACTGAAGACCTTTCACATAAGACACAATCTTGAAAATAACATAATTGCACTTGATCGTTCCATAATCCTTTGTAGTTCCCTTGCCATTATTGCTATATGTAATTGATGGACCATCCTTCTTTATGAAATCTTCCAGGAGAGATTTGAATTCTGTCATATGTCTTGAACAACCACTGTTTAAATACCAAATATGCTCCTTAACCTGAAACTAAGATGTACAGTAAGACTAAAAAGATATACACTAAATATACACTGACTCACTTGCAAAGGATCCTTAAGAAAAGATGTTATAACAATCATCAGATAGATAGTTCAACGAGTTTCCCTTTTTGATCCACTTATCATTCCAATTCATGATATCATCAATGTGAACGATATTCTTTTCAAAAGAGTACTCACTGACTTTGTGAGAGACATCACCACATCGATAACAAACTTTAATTGCATAATATTTTCCTTTAACATTATATTTTGAGTTCTTTTCAACTGCTTAATCTAAAGAACTTTGATTATTTGATTTAATACTTCTTTATTTAGCTTTGTAATAATGAATGTTATCAATGGTATGCCCATATACTACCTTGTCATGAGACTCATGATCCTTTGATGAGTTTTCAGGAGTAGAAGTCTTTAATTGATCTTCAGGTTCATAATTGCTAACTGAGCACTGAGGAAACATGCTAAGAATTTTGTTTACATAATGAACTTCACCCTTACATATAGGAAACTTTAGCAAAGTCTTAGTCGATGGAAGAACATACTCATGATGAGAAGGTTGAAGAGAAGGATCAAGAGCATATAATTTATTAACACATTTAGTAATGCCATTAGAATCAGTAGAGAAATGAGTATTTCTTAAGGTTTGATTTATAAAGTAAGAATTCACAAATCTACTTTTAAAATCTTCTTTTAAGCAGTCAACTTTATAGAAGGTTTCTTTACTTTTGATTTTGGTCAAAGAGACATCACCTTCTATATCACCTCCAAGAATTTTCTTACACTAATATGGAATCTGAGCATTAAAGATTATTGTGACATTAAAGTGAAAGGATGCCCAGAACTTCAAAATAAGCTGAGTGTGATTAGCATGGTCAACAAATTTTACTTTTTCAGTGTGAAGAAAATTATTGGTAAGCGAGATACAAGTGTTTTCCCTTTTTAAAACAGAAAGAGATTTTTCTAGAGCAATGAGTTTTTCTTTGAGAATCTTTAACTCAAGACTGAGAGGAGATTTTCTTTTATTTGATATCAATAAATTGAAACGTAGGAGATGGATCATGTCCTTATTTTCGATATTATCAATAGAGGAAAGATTAACATGATTTTTTATCTGATATGCTGATGCATCGTCCCGTTTTGACCTGAGGTTATCAACAGTGTGAGGAGAATCATCGTTAAGGATCCCAACACTGTCATGTGAAGTGTTAGCATGAGATTCAACATTATGAGCCATGAGACACTTAACTTCACCATCTGAAGAGTTCTTTTCAAAAGCAGATGCTAGAATGGTCATCATCTATTGAGCAGTTTTGGACCAAAAAATAGACAGAAAATGGAAGTGAGTTTCTAATAGAAATTCTAGCTTTTACATCAAGATTCAACATCCTTTTCTCTTCCTTGTTATAACAGGGAACAAATTTCCCTTGAAGCTTACTGCTAGATGCACCATTACTCGATGATTGATGCATAGCACCTATAGGACCTTTGTTGATGACGTCGAGCATATCGAAATCCGTGAACTCTAGAACTTTCATGGCCTTTGATTTCCAATCAGAGAAGTTGTATTGGTCAAACAGAGGAATCTTTTTACAAATAGATGACTTAGGAACGAAAAAGGTTGACATGACTACTTGAGTGTATCACAAACCCACTCTGATACCAATTAAAGGTTTGTATTCGATCGGATACACTTCATGTATGAATAAGAAACGTGAAACTAATCTAAGAAAAATAATCAACAGAAAGTTAATAACACAGAAGTTCTCTAAATTTTTCCTTTCACTAAGAAAAGAGGTTTTATCTTCACCAAGAAGATGGATTTATCACGAAGACGATTGACACAAATCCATGATTCACAACATTAGGGTTTGCCCTCGTCACACCCCCAAACCAGACGGTGGAAACGTCTGAGGGCTCGCGTAACTTAAATTAAATATCATCACAATGAATACACATGAATCATAACATAAACATCACCATGCATCAATATATTACAACTGGAATTGTTCACATCAAGTATATTGTTTTAACGTTACAAATCCATGATAAACTATTTGATAGTTTTCAATAACAAAACACACTAACATACTTGGTACTTATTCCTCGGCTTACCTGTTACTTGAGAATACAAGTTATTTTGGAAAACGGTCAACATATGGAATGTTGGTGAGTTCATAAGCAATGTTGTGATAAAAATGATTTGTGTAGTTTGTAAAACCCAGAAAATACGATATTTTTTGAAAATACCATTGTTTATAAAAAGGTGTGAAGATCCGTAAATATATGCATGATGATTTCAAAACATGTATAATTGAAAAGAAACTTTGTATTAACCGTACAAGTGCAAAATGTTGAACTTCCCCGGAAAACCCGATGTTTTCCAAAAACATAAAATACAGTTATTTCTCTAATGGTGATACTGCCACAATGAATGATTTTTTATTACTCTTCCTTGATTACTAGGGTGGTGTTGGATTAATTAAGGTTTGTGAGTTGTTATAATCATGCATTAGTAATGACTAGTTATAACTACAGTTTACGAACGATCCTTAGAGGCGTCGCCCGTTATCACTCACTTAATCCAAACAACCTTGTTTACTATTGATGAACAACCTGAATTTGTTTACTTTGATTACTCATAAGCCTAACAAACGAGGAGAAGAGGAGTACGACGTCGTGCTACTTCCGTGAGTTATTTTAGGTTATCGGGGATGCGAAAGACACGTTGGCCCAACTCGCATTTGATTACTTTGACCTAATGACAATGCTAGTGGATCACTAGGGCCCAATAGCACTTAAAAGTCATTAAAGGTCCCTTTATATGAAATTTGGTCATAGAAGGCCCAATAACATATAATCATTATCCATTGGGCCCAAAGATCATGTTAATGGACTTGCAAGGTCCAACAAGCATGATTTGAAACTTTCAAGCCCAAGTGTCGAATGTTTACTTGTCTTAGGTATTACATGTCTACTAGAGAGTTCGATTTAACGATTGTTATTTTGTATCGACTCGAGACCGATCGATTTGTTTATAACGAAATTTTGGAGTTATACGCGTATTTTCTTTCGATGTTTTTGTTGTAAGCCGTAGATTAATATTTTTGACTCAATATTCTATAAATAAAATATTTGGTATATATATAGTCGTTTAACCTTTTTAGCCCCTTTTCTTTTTATAAAAGTAACGATTTTGGTCCTTTATATAAAAGAAAAGACATCTTTAGCCCTTAAAACATTTTCTTGATACTTTTGCATCATATATTTATTGAAATGATAGTTTTAACTCAAGACTTAGTTTGTTAATAGTTTCAGCCCTTTCAAAATAGTATTTTTTTTGTTAGAACCCAACTTTTCGCAATTTTTACAGTTTTGGCCCAAAATCCAAAAGCTTTACATTTTTTATCCTTTATGGAAATCAAAAACATTTTCAGTCCTTGAAATAGTTTTGTTACACTTTTTATCCCCTGTTTTGAAGAAATTATCATTTCAACCCCTTTAAAAAATTTTATCGCAATTTTGGGCTTATTGGGTCGAAAAGCCCAAAATTAGCCCATTAAGCTAAAGATTTACATTTCAAGTCCTTTGAAAATTTTAATTTTCAGAAAAACAATTATTTTAACTTTTTTGACTCTTTAATCCTTAAGAAACCATGATTTGGTACCGTTTAACCCAAATTTTGTATTTTTGACAATTTAAGCCCAATAATGGGCTTTATGTTGAAATATGTTTATCACAATCTTATAAGTTATTATTCTTGACTTGTTGGGTGCAAAATAACTTAGATCATGTTTGTTTTCTTTCTCATGTCATAGATCTCGTGATATCACCCCTTTTTGGTTACATGTTCATCACAAAAACACATAAAACCATACATACATGCATAAAATCACACATAGCATACACATACATATAGATCTACACATTTTCTTGTATTCTACCCCATAAAACATATGAAAACTGTAAAGAGAGGGGTATGAAGCTCACCTTGAGTTGCGGTTTTGGTTTTTGAAGGAAGAGATGAAGAAAGTGTCGATCCTAGCAAGTCTTCTTGGAAGATTTTTGACTTAGATGTGTTCTAAGGGACAAGATCACGAATTTTGTATGAGATAAGGGAGATTGTTGATGAGATGAAGAAGATATGTTATTAACCAAAGAAATAACTTACCAAGGATGTGAACTACTTGATGAAAATCCTTAGATTTCTAGCCAAAATTGTTGGGTTTTGGTATACTACAACATCCTATGGTGCACATACAACCCTAAATACCTTGGATCTATGTTTTCACTAATTATACATGCAAATGGTTTCCAAGGTATTAATCTTACAACTAGCATGCATTTAACATAAAAATATAATATACTAGTTAGCATGACATACCTTTTGATGGAGCTTGAATTCTTGGTGTATTTGGCCGTAAAGAGCTTAGCCCCAATAGTGTGGAAGCCTCACATGGAATCACAACACACCATGGACAAAGGATGAACTTGAGAGACAATTCCATCCACAAAAAAGACACCATGAACTCTCAAAAAGATACTAATGGTGATATTGGGCAATGAAGTATCTATTTATATGTGGGATTTCTAGGGTCATGGATATAACCCAAATCCATACCCATGGGTTTTATAATCCATGGTTCATGTGGCCCAACTCTTTATGTATCCATACATAAACTTGGTCCAACATGGATCCTAATCCCAACACATATAAATATAACTAATTATCATAATTAGTCCCCATAGATTTAATTAGTCTCTTTCGACCACTAAATTAATTCCAAAGTAATTCTTGATCAATACTAATTAAAACATATGATTTCATATTGATATATTATTACTTATAATATATTAATAAACCATAAATAACCTTCTCTCAAAATTCCATCCTAACAAATTGTCCTAATGATATGCAACCTAAATGGACCGTGCTACTCTCGGGTCGAATACATACCAATAATAGTTATGGGCTAAGACACCTAATCCAACAAAAATTTTGAGATCTTCAAAGAGGAAAAGGATGATCTTGAGAGTGGTTTAGAGAGAATTTTTTGAGGTGTGTGTGTGTGTTTGTGTTGGGTTCGGCTGAGAGAAAAAGAGAGAGGAGAAGAGAGAGACCTTGATGAGATGTTTGCTTGGAGACATGAGTTGCATGCATGGAGACCCAACAAATAATAGTGAGGTGGCCATGGAAAGTCAACTCTTCTCTTTTGGTGTAGTTGGGCCGAGAAAAGGAGAGGGGAAAGAAGGATTTGGGCCCTTTAATGCTTAAGCCCAAATTACAAACCCATTAGGTGATTTTCGACCCAATTAAATCAAGGAATGATTTTTATGACCCATTAGGGCTAGTTAAATTTGTTGTAATTCAATGAGGTCCATTAAAATTATCCTAGTTTATTTTAGGCTTATAAAGCCCAAAATATTAAGTTTTCAAGCATATGGGTCCAAATTAGAGCCCATATAAGAGTTCTAAGCCCCAAAGTAGTCAAATTGGAAGCTTATTGGTCCATTAGTCCCAATAAGGAAATCCTAGTCCAAAATGGACTTATACCAAAATTTCTAGGGTTTCCCAATCCTTTGTTGACTATTTGATGTGATTGTATAAAGTGTTTGATGGAAGTTTTGTTGTTATTGAATAAGCATCATACATGCTTTCACATTTTTGGTTCACATTTGATATAATTGTTGTTGTTACAAACATTCAAATTTCTAGTTGTGACAGCCCTAATGCTGTATATATACTAATCTATACATGTATATCCATTGATTGAAGGGATTGCATCTAATCTATACTAATGATCAGATCCTTATCACCAAGATAACAAATTTGATATCTATTCCATATTTATATATAACAATTGCCTAATATACAAAAGATTACAATTGGATAACTATACTTAATGATGATGTTGGTAACCTTGATACGATGGCGTTGTCGATGTCTAGAAGCTGACGCTGATAGATCAGCGTGTCATGTGTTTGAATCATTGGATCATAAGGTGTGACCCTACAGTTGTCTGTATGGTTGTGTGTGTGGTACTTTGGGGGGCTCACTAAGCTTTGGCTTACGGTGTTAGTTTATTGTTTCAGGTACTTCATATGATCGGGGGAAAGCAAAGGCGTGATCATGCATATCCTTCTGATTTTTTATGTTATTGGATTTTGGGATACTATGACTTATGATTATCAATTTTGGAACAATGTTTTGTAAAAAATTGTGGTCTTTGGAATTGTTTTTAAAAATGAAAATTTTAATCTGGTTGATGGGATGTTTCAATTTGGTATCAGAGTCGTAGTTTGATAGAATTTTATGGGCATTCATGTAAATCCATACTCCAACTAAGGAACCGTGTCTCAAAATTGTTTTCAAAGGTAACCAAAGAAGGATGAGATGTGTATGATCAACCGGAGCAAGAAAGTATACCCAAAGATACCCATACTATTATTGCATATGATAATTATGATAGAACTGCATGCTAGCTATAGTGTTGGAATCTTCAATAATTGCATGATAGAATTGCCTAAATTATGATGCCTTATTTCCTATAGAGATTTTATGCTTAAATGTTGCTTGCTCTTTGTTTAGTAGGACCCTTTCGGGTGTGAATCAACTACTAAATAAATACGAAAAGTCACACGATGCAAAAGTTAAATAATCTTAGGGTGAAGGATTTGACCCTATTGCGCAGCTCTTGTTTGAGTCTAACCGTTGTAGGGTTGAGTCTTTTAATCTAAGATTATTTAAGTTACGTTGCATATGATTGTATCCTTGAAGTAGTTAACTGGAACTAATGGTGGTCTTTCGACAACTGATGGCAGGGTGTGGTAGGGATTCTAGGTTAACCAAGGAAGTGTTGTAGTGTGCATGGTGTGTTGTTAAGCGGATGTTGGTAGTATCATTATGAGGAGGTAACTTTGAGGATTTAGGATGATTCACGAGGAAAGTATGGATAGGTGCGGATGGTAATATTGAGAACGTACTATTGGAAGCATAGGATCCATACTCGAATCGTAGGAATTCATGCAAATTCTAAGGAGCTGGATGATGGTAGATGGCATGGTTGGTACCATGATTCGTGATAGTGTTTATGTATCTGTCGATCTTTTGGATATGATTATTTAGGATGAGGATGAGTCTGGTGGTTGTTTGGGATTTAGTAGCCTCATCAGTTTGGGTTTGAATGGTGCAGACGTAGGTAAGTTAGTTGATTTTGAATTCTCAAGGGCCTTGCTCGATTTTAGTGCCATTTGAGTCGTGGGACTCAAGAAAGAAGCGATTGTTATGATTGGCTCGAGGATTGCAGCCGGAGGCTGAGTGATTGACAGATGGATTAGGATGTCAGTATCTTTAGCAGAGGATATGTTCTTTCGACTTTTGTATTCAGAGGAGAGAGAGAGTGAGAGAGAGAGAGAGAGAGAGAGAGAGAGAGAGAGAGAGAGAGAGAGAAAGAGAGAGAGAAAGAGATAGCACAAAAGCAGACATGTGATTTTCATATATGTGATGTAGACCAAGTATGGGGCTATATGGCTATGATATTTGGCGGCAAAATAGCAGTGTGGGAATACACAATAAGATCCTTATGGCATGGTTTCTTTGAGATGAGATCAAGGTTCTCCTTTCTTGGGATATAGGCACATTAGGTGCTAGCAGATGGTTTCATGAGATATTTAATTTTTTTTTATAATTTATATTGCATTCTTTAAAATTATAATTTTGTAGTTTATCCACAAATATAAAAATATCAATTAGATATTCAAACCACTGTCTTTTTGTATTTTCAACCAATATTTATGTCATTATCATATTATTAACAAAATATATACATTTATTAATTAGTAAGATTTTATTATTAATTCTTTATAATTAAGTTATAATTTAATTAAAATTGTTTTTAAAATATTCCTTCATTGTACCGACGAGTTATAACTAATTGTGAAATATATATGACATACAAAAGAAAAAAGATCAAGTATAGTTATTTTTTGACAACTGATTAACAAAATTGGTTTTGTAACCATTTTTTATGATAAGATAAGCAAATTTGAATTTTTATTTATAATAATTTCACAAAATTAATTTAGTTAATGGTTTTTTCACATGATTTTTTTACAATTCATCATCACTGTATATTTTAGAAGGTTATTGATTTTTTTTATAGAAATTATATAATTTCAAGAAATTTGTGAATTTCACAAGTTTTATTATTCTATAAAGTATGTTTATTTTATGAAAATAATTATGTTTCTTTTTTTATCATTGATTAAACTTTCCGCCTATTTTATTAGATATGCATAATCAGTTACATATCAAATAAAAAATCACGAGCTTCTCCAACAAAAAGTACAAATCTTGTATTACAAAATGAATTTCCACGCTCTTTTTAACCTTTTCGAATCTATAAACATTATGCTTAGCATGTAATCATCCAAAGCCTTTACTTTTAATAGTGTGTTAAAGAATCCACATCACATTTTTCAAACAATGTAATTGAGTTTGACCCTTCACCCAATATTTTCTCCAAGATCACCGACGAAATTTCACATTGACAAATCGTCGTCTATAACTTCTTCCCCTCTTTCATCTCTCCCACCACAAATCTCTGCCACAAGCCGTCGCAGCAGCAAAGAGGGAAGCAACTGTCCTTCCCTCAATTCAATTCGATTCAACAGATATCATCATAAGGTCAGTTGGATCTAAACTAATTTCTTTCCCAATCACATTCATAGAAACTAAACGTGTGTGTGCTTATGTTGTTTCAATTTCTCGTTTAGATTATTTGTTCATGCTTATTCAATCACCGATTACGATGATATTGTAAATTTGTAATGTTTTTCCTTGATTCTTACCACGATTCATGACTAAATTTGATAATATGTTGCAATCTACATTGAAATTATACTGATTCTAGCATTTTGCGAATTGAGGTTTTTCAGATCTGACGAAAATGAAAATTTTCGAAAAATTCAAGATCTGGAGTTTGTTGATCTGCGTGATCTCTCAATTAGGTCATGGATATTACCTCCCTGGTAGCTACCCTCACAAATACGTTGTAGGCGATCAATTATCTGTGAAAGTCAACTCATTGACTTCAATTGATACTGAAATCCCTTTTAGTTACTACAGTTTACCCTTCTGCAAGCCTCCAGAAGGTGTTAAAGATAGCGCTGAGAATCTCGGTGAGCTTCTAATGGGAGATAGAATCGAAAACTCCCCTTATAAGTTCAAAATGCACGCTAACCAAACTGAAATCTTCCTCTGTCAAACAAAACCCTTATCAAGCGAGGAATTCAAACTGTTAACAAGTAGAATCGACGAAATGTATCAAGTCAATGTGATCCTCGACAATTTGCCTGCAATTCGTTACACTAGAAAGGATAACTTCTTGGTGAGATGGACAGGGTATCCTCTTGGAATCAAAGTTCAAGATACATATTACGTCTTCAATCACTTAAAATTCACAGTTCTTGTTCACAAATACGAAGAAACAAATGTTGCAAGCGTTATGGGGACAGGGGATGCAGCTGAAGTGATTCCATCGGTTAACAAACCGGAATCAGACATTCCGGGGTATATTGTGGTCGGATTCGAGGTCACTCCTTGTAGTGTTCAACACAATGCCCAGTCTTTAAAGAACTTGAAAATGTACGAAAAATACCCTTCCACGATTGCTTGCGAATCCAACACTGTAACCATGGCTATAAAGGAAAACGAACCCGTGGCATTTTCATATGAAGTTTCATTCGTTGAAAGTGATATCAAATGGCCATCAAGATGGGATGCTTATTTGAAAATGGAAGGAGCAAAAGTCCACTGGTTTTCAATCCTGAATTCATTAATGGTCATCACTTTCTTGGCGGGAATCGTGCTTGTGATATTCTTAAGAACTGTTCGCCGGGATTTGACTCATTACGAAGAGCTCGACAAAGAAGCACAAGCCCAGATGAACGAAGAGTTATCAGGTTGGAAACTTGTCGTCAGCGATGTCTTTCGCATCCCAACCTACCCGGCGCTCCTCTGTGTAATGGTCGGCGACGGCGTTCAGATTCTCGGAATGGCGATGGTCACAATCTTGTTCGCAGCGCTAGGGTTCATGTCTCCGGCGTCCCGCGGCACTCTCCTCACCGGAATGCTATTCTTCTACATGGTTCTCGGAATCTTAGCCGGATATGTCGCCGTTCGTCTCTGGAGAACGATTTCCTCCGGCGATCAGAAAGGATGGGCGTCCGTTTGCTGGAAAGTCGCCTGCTTTTTCCCGGGTATCGCGTTCTTCATCCTTTTCATCTTAAATTTCCTTCTTTGGGGTTCTCATAGCACCGGAGCAATTCCGTTTTCTCTCTTCGTCATCTTGATTCTTCTCTGGTTTTGCGTATCTGTTCCATTAACACTCGTCGGTGGATACTTCGGTGCTAAAGCACCACACATCGAATACCCGGTTCGAACCAATCAAATCCCTCGGGAAATCCCGGCCCAAAAATACCCTTCTTGGCTCCTCGTTCTCGGCGCCGGAACTCTCCCATTCGGGACTCTTTTCATCGAGCTTTTCTTCATCATGTCGAGCATTTGGATGGGTCGGGTTTATTACGTGTTCGGGTTTTTATTCATCGTGTTGATTCTTCTTGTGGTGGTGTGTGCTGAGGTGTCATTGGTTTTGACTTACATGCATTTGTGTGTGGAGGATTGGAGGTGGTGGTGGAAGTCGTTTTTTGCTTCGGGATCGGTGGCGTTATACATTTTCTTGTATTCGATAAACTATCTTGTGTTTGATTTGAAGAGCTTAAGTGGGCCCGTTTCGGCTACCCTTTATTTGGGTTACTCGTTGTTCATGGTTATAGCGATTATGCTTGCAACGGGGACTGTGGGGTTACTTTCGTCTTTTTGGTTCGTTCACTACTTGTTCTCTTCGGTGAAGCTTGATTGAAATTTGGGAAGATTTTAGATGAATTTCGGGCGAAATGGGAATATGTTTTTTGTTTTGTTTTTGGTGTTAGTTAAGTAGTTTTGTAATCTTGGATTTCTTGTTAGTCGATTGTATGAATTTCTTGGGCGATTATATTTGATGTTACGTTGTTTTTTTTTAATTGGTTTAATGTTTGAATTTAGATGTTTGAATTTTATTAGTCACATAAACTTTGTGGAAATTTTATATCACGTATTTTAAAAGACTAGACAAACATTTTGAAATTATTTTTTAGTGAGGATGAGAACATCAACGTCTTTTGTTCAACAATCCACGCTAGTCGTCTCTCACCTTTTTTTGGCTAGTAAAAAATTGCAGTTTTTAACCGTTGATGCTAAATTGAGTCCCGGTTCAAATAAATGAAGTGCCACATAGGAGGGGGAAACATTTAGAACTGATTTTTTATTTAATAAAAAGTTAAGGGCTATTATAATTCCATTAAACTTTCTTTATGTGTAGAGTTGAATGATGATTAAACTCTATCATTTCTCTTGTATGTCATTCTTATTGAACTTTTATTAAGCTCAAATTATGGATAACCAAATGGGTCTACCTGCATCAGACTATACAAACTTTGGCTTGAACCTAAAAATCAATAAGATTTTAGCCTTTTAGGCAGATTGAAAACTTGAAATCCGCTTATGATTAGAATTTATTTTATTATACTGTTGTTGTTAATATTTATGTTAATTATATCAAAATGAGAACATTTTCACAGATCAAAAGATAAACATGCTTTTTAATCAGTCAAGATCATTATTCAACTGATCCCTTAAATGTTTTTCATGGCTGTTGTATGCATTGATTCAAAAACACCTTCAGCCTGCAAATGACACAAAAATGTGTTAATCCAATAAATAGCAATATGCTTCCATTTCTTCCGATTGCAACATTGTACTTTGGAACATCTATTCAATTATGGCAAGTGAAAATCTATCTATAAAATATATGTTTGTTTTAACAAAATAGAAGATCATTAAAACCTAAATAAGATTAATAACAATTTTAATATTTATCTTTAATCACCAATATTAATACAACCATTATAGTTAAAATAGTATTTTGTTTTATGTGATAACCATTTATAAAACAAATTACTAACATTGATAAATCAACATAGTTTAAACCAAATTTTTAATTAAAAATACTAAATATGTTATGTTGATACCGATTAGGGGTTAAAACAAATCAAACTACTAGTGAGCTACTGAGGATCAGCTCTTTAAAAGCTCAACTCGGGAACTGATTTTAAAAGAGCCCGAGCCGAGCTTGAGCTTACTATTAAGCTCGTTTATTAAACAAGCTTGAGCTCGAGCGTATGTCATTAAGTTCGATTAGGTTCGCGAGCCTAAATGATCCTATATATAATATAAATTATTTTTATGTTTAAATATTAAAATAAAAAATATTTGGGGAATTAGGGCTTTAGGGTATTAGTAAACGAGTTTCTTAACAAGTTCGAATTGAGCTTAAGCTTATTTAGACACGTTAGACAAAAAGCTAGCCGAGCTTGTATGATTCTTTACGAGCTCGACCCGAGCTTAGTACAAGAAAGCTCGAATCGAACCGAGCTCGAGCTCGAGCCTCATATAAGTTAAACAAGCCCGAGCCGAGCTTGTATGATTTTTTTCATTTTAACATATACAAATATAAAACAAGGTAAAACTAAAACATCATTCACAAAAATTCTATACATAATTTTCTATCAATTAAAAATGTCAAAACAAAGCATTATTTGGTGTCTCTTCATCGACCCCATACTCTTCATCTTAATTTGAATCTATATCTAAATCTTTATCAAGTTCATAGACAGTGATCACGCAACACACAAACAAATTGGTCAAGGAGTTGTAAAGCAACACCAAACTTCAATAATATAGAATTAATATAAAGTAAGAGAGAGATTCTAAGTGTTGGATTTGAATATTAGTTGTGAGGTGTTGAAGTCTGTTATAACTTGATAGGATTCAAAGTCTGTATGTTAGATTCGAATATATGTATTTGTTAAGGGTAGCTTAGATTCGAAGCTTTCATGTCTATGTCCTTATGTACTTTTTGTCCACTTCATTGGTTCCTATATATATGGATAGGTACTAGGGTAAGGGCAACGAGTGTATCACCAGTGCACTTTACTCTCTCATTCCTGTACTCTTTGAAGTGATAATAGAGCCAAACAAATCTTATTTACCTTCTGTGTTCTTGATTAAGATTTGTACTCTGATTTTGTTCACTTTACTCGATTTATTCAAACTACATATGGTATCAGAGCAGGATTCTATCTAGTAATTTATGGGTTTTCTCTCGCTATCAAAAGGTTTTGAATCGCAACTTCTGATTCCAAAAGTTTTCCGCATTTTTGATCTAAAAACCTGATCTAATCATTAGATTTACTTTGATTCCGTGTTCAGTTTGTTCAATCAAGTATTCTCTGATCTTTTTCATAAAGATTTGTTCCTCAGATTCCAATTTTTGAAGCTTTTCACTATTCTATTTCGTACAACAATGGCAAACTTCACTATGAACACTATGACGTGATTTTCTCATCTTCTTGGATCATCAACCAAAATTACGATGCTCATCATTGAATACTATGAACATTGGGCTGATAGGATGGATGATTATCTGACTGGGATAGTTGAAGATCTATGGCGGTGTGTCAAGAGTGGAAACTTTCGTCCTTCTATGCTTGCAGAAATTGGAAATGTTGGTTCATTCGCTGATGTAACTACTCAAACTAACAAACACAAAGCTAATGACAAGAGATGTATGCGTGAATTACATGGTGCTCTTTCACCAATAGTTTACAACTATGTATGTGGATGCACAACAACTAAAGAAATTTGGGAAACTTTGAAAGATAAGTATCAAGGGAGTGAGAAGACGAAGGAGAGCTCTGTTAAGCAATGTCTGCTTGAGTTAGGAGAATTCAGACAAAAATATGGTGAAAATATTGAACTCTACTATGATCATCTTAATGAATTAATTAATTTTTAAATGCAGTCGATATGGAGTCAATCGCTCAACTCTTGAATTCAACTTGACCTTTCTGATGGAACTTCGCAAAGAATGGCGAAATATCAGTCTTATGATTAAGACTCAACAAAGCTTTAACAAGTACTCTTTGGGTGATATTTACAATGTTTTGAAAGCTCATGAAAATGAGATTAATGAAATAGCTGAAGAATCGAAAATGAGCATGGGAGGTCCTCTCGCTTTAGTGTCGAAGGTGTCTGTGAAAGAAATTGAGGTTGAGCCTGCTAAGAATGAAAGTTCTGATAATGAAGGATTCATCATGAACTCGGATGACGAAGTGGTGTCATTTTATTCGAATAATAAAGTGAAGAACTTTTACAAAAAGCCATTTAATCTGAAGTTTAAAGTAGGTGATTCCAAAGGAAACTCATATGGGAAGAGTGTGAAAAGGGAAAGGAGGAGAAGAAAGAAATCAAGACTGACGTTGAGTGTAACACTCTGTTTTGAATTGACTTCTAGTCTAAGGTTGTGGGCTGAAGGTTGGTCTTCATAAGGAGTATGGCTCTAGAAAAGGTAATATCTAGGCCCATTTGGGTGCGAGTGATGTATTAGGAGTGTTTCGGGTGTTCGAGTTGTGTTTTGGAGCCTAGGGGTAATATGGTAAAGTGTCAGTTCGGGCTTTTATGGATAATCGATTTTTGTTCGGAAGGTCTTACGGAAAATTTGATTTGTTAGAAGTGTAGAGCTTCTCGTCACCTTTCCGTGGATATAAGGATCGTTGAAAACGGATTTATAACGAAGAAGTTATGGCTTTCGGAAGTTTAGCAGTTTCAGGCTTAGGGATTACGCTAGGCGTAATTTGGAATACGCTGGGAGAAATGACCAGGAGTGGTCGCGAAAGTTCCGTGGAGTACGATGGGCGTAATTCTGTCTGATTAGAACCCTATTTTAGGGTCGTGGACCCTATTTAAACCCCTTATTTCATAACCAAACCCTATCATCTTCAGCCTCCACCCCTATAAACATTAGAAATCGTCTTATAGCATCCATGGTGGCATTTTGAGCTTACGAAGTCCATTTTTGGGGTGTTTAACCCATTTTCAAGAAGTTGGAGTTTGATGCAAGGGTGGGAATCAAGGAGGACCTTGTGGATCTGGCTTTTAGGACTCATTCTCAGCTTAATGAAGGTATAAAGTTCTGAACTTGACCATTGAATGCTTAGATCTTCTATGTTGAGATTTTGGATCTTTTGGTCCCAAGAATGGAGCTTTATGGGTTCGAATATGTTTTTAGGCTTGGGGTTGCCACCCTTGATGCCATTTGAGTCCCTAAGGCAGAATGTTGCAATCTTGATGGTCTTAATGGGTTCATGCTTGAGTTAGGATCACTTTTATGGAAGTAGAATGTCATTTTTTGGAGTTTGGGTTTGTTTGGGGCATGCAAAGTCACCAAGTTAGTGACTTTATGGGTTTAGATGTTAAATATAGCTCAGATCTATAATTTGGACTTATTGGATCAAGTATTAAGCACTTAATGGATGTTGTGCATGAGCTACTTGTACGCTGGGCGTACTATGTAGCACGCTGCGCGTACAACCCATTTGCTCAGTACGCTAAGCGTACAGAAGAGGTACACTGGGCGTATGCTCTCAGAAGGGCTTGGGCCTTTGTGGACTTCGGACCTTTAGGCCCTAATGGTTTTGGGCCTGGATTTGTTGATATTTGGGCCTAAATGCATCTTTCGGCCAAAAATGGAATAGTCGGGCCTATTGGGCCTTGTGGCCCAATATAGAAACGGACTTCACATTTTTGGGCCTCGGTTTGGGCAAATTCTTGGACTAGGTTGTTGTGCGCCTTCGTGGGCCCTTTGGTTCAGGATTATTGACTAAGGAAAGTATTGGGCTTTAGTATAAGGTCCATTGGAAAGGTCTGGGCCCAATTTGGAAAATTGGGCCATTGATGATTTTATGGACATTATAATGTTGGGCC